GAATCCAAAGGAACTTGAAGAGGGAGCCTAGAAAACTGATCCTCCCCTGGGCATCTGACCTCTGCCACTCAGACATTAGTCCAGGTGCACCTTTAAGGAAACCGGGATGCTAATTGATTTAAGGTTGTCTCTCTTGGGGGAGGCTCAAGGTGTAACCCCCCTGGGCTAGATCCCAGGCTGCGAAGTCGGCCTCCCTCCCCTCCTCCGCCCCCCTCCCCCAGCGGCGTTCACATCTCCCAAGTCTCCGGCTCCTTTCTCTTAGGGCTACATCATGGCAGCCAGCTAGGCTGTGTGCGTTTGTGCCCACCCTCCTAGGCCTGGCAGTGGGAGGTGTTGTGGCCCAAGACAGAGCCAAACTTCTCTTGTCTGAGGATGTGGGGGGTGGATGGGGCCTTTAGCTGGCGGCAGGACTCATTAGGCAGAGTGGGGTGCAGAGAGGTGCGCGCCGCCGGCCCCTGAGGCCGCTTTTGAGCCGTCGGGGCAGCTTCATTAAGCGGCGCTAACAAGGCGTACAAATGCCTGGCCTAGCAGCTTTCTTGCAATGCCGGGGCCTTAGCAGGGCGCCAGGCTAATGAGGGTCACTCAAAGGGGCTGATCAAATATTCAAATTTCCCCGCACGCCGGGAACTTTTATGCACGGAGAAAGTTGAGGCAACTGAGCTGTGTTTACGGTTCGGGGCGACAATTGCTTGAAGCGCGGGTCCCCGGCGGCTAAGGGAGGGGGCAGGGGGTGAGGGGGGGAGGGGGTAGTTGTTGTTGTTGTTGTTTTTCAAAGGAAAGTAATCGGGGTCCTTGAAGGGCTTCAGCGGCCTCCCCGCCTGCGTGCTTCGCTCCCCCGCGCCCTCCCTGGCGGTCCGCGCCAAGCTCCTAAGTTTTCTGCTAGCGGGGAGGCCCAGACTATAGGCCACCCGGTCAGCCTCCACATCCAAACGTCCTGGGAGCCGGAAGGACTAACCTTCCTGGGCTACCCGAATCTGATTCTTAAGAGTTGAGCGAGCCCCGAGTGCATCCTTCTTAGCCCTGCCGGATCGTCCTCTCCCGGAGGTCTGCAGACCTCTGGCTTTCTCTGTAACCAGAAACAAGGGAGCGTTTGGGTGGGAGGGAGGGAGTCTCCAGGGTTTGTCTCCTGGATGCAAACTGTTTAAGATTTCTCAGTGCTGGGGCCTAGTAGCTCATGATAGGTAAACACCGTCCAGTAGTCAGAAGCCCTCTTTCCTCCCGCACCGTCTTCTGATCACAGAGGTGGGGTGGAAGTGGACGCGGTGGTGGAAGTTTTGTTCAGCACAGGTGATTTAGGCCTGTACTCAGGCCAGGTCCCAGATCTGCGAGAGTGAGCGGCCAGAGGCCAAAGGGGGACGATCTACAGTCCCCCAAAGCTGACCCGTTCCTCAGGATAGACTGCGGGTGCAGTCTTCGCTAGCAGGCCATCCCCTCCAGGCGTTCCCTGCGGGCTGACTTCCTAAACCTCGAGCTTAGTCCTCAGACCAGCCAGCAAGAAAGGCCGCCTGCGTCCTGGAAACCCAAGGCCCCTACGCGCCCCTCCTCCCTAGCTCTCAAAGCCTGGGAATTTGAGAGAAGAAGCCTCTGGAGCTCCACAGCACCCCCTTTCCATCCAAACACGCACTCATCACCCTGAAACCCAGACCCAGCGGAGGCTGCGCTCCGGGCTCCGCCGGAAACCATTCTTTCCACCCGCTCCGAGGACCAGCTGCAACCGCCTTCCCCGCCCAGCTCCCGGGACTCTCAACTTACGGGCTTCAAGCGGCCGGCGTAAAGCTTCCGGCCCGAGCGGAGAGGCGCTCTGGGCGGCGGGTCCGCAAACGGGGCTCGGCGGGCGGCGCGGAGCTCGGCTCCGCGGAGAGGCGCCGACAGCTGGGAACTGCTGCCCGCCCCGGCCAAGTCCGGGCGCACAAAGCTGAGCGCCCCTTCGGCTGCCCTCCTAGCTTTGCGCTCCTCGAGCCGCGGCTGCCATCTGAACGGATGGGGGTGCGGCGAGCCGGCGGGCTCCCCGGTAGAGGCTTGCGGAGCCGGAGTACCGCCGAGCCGAGCCTCAGCTCCTCTTTTCTCAATTCTCCCAGAGTGGCAAGGGTTTTCGATTTCAATCTGCGCTTTCGGCAGAGCCCCGCGGCACCTGCCCAGCCTCCCTTGGGGCTGGCACCACCGCCACGGGGAGAGGCCAGGTCGCCCCCACCCCACGCAGAGGCGGGGGTTGTAGGGATTGGGAGGGACTGACCGGGTTCACCCGCCCGACCGGCGCCTAGGTCCTTGGCTCGGGGGGGGGGGGGGGATGCAGTTTCGGGGTCACGAGCTGCTTTCAAAAAGTTGAACACAATATTCGGAAACCCACCCGTAGGAATGCTTCCCCCCCCACGCGGCACAATACCCACTCCCCTCCCCTTTTTCATTCCTTCCTCCCCCGCTTCCTCCTGCCCCTTCCCCCTCCCACCTTTCAGCCTGTAATCCTTCCCCTACGAGAGAAAGGATCGGGAAGAAAAGATGAAGTGTCTTGTTTTTGTGTCCCAACCTCTGGGCTCTTTTCTTGGCCCGCAGTGAACGACCGCCCAGAGTTTCACAGCCTAATGGAAAAGGAAGATATTTGGAGAGAAGGGACCTCCGAAGTGGGGCCTGACAGATCCTCGCTTTGGGGGAATATTTCTTTGCCCCAATCAGCGGGGCTTAGGTGAGATCCCCTACTGCCTCTGGCTGAAGAAGTCCTTGTGGGCCGCTCGCCCAACCCCAGGTCTCCTAAGTCATCTATAGGAAGCCATAGGAAGCCTGACGCAGCAAGGGTCCAGGCCTAAATGCGGGGCCTGAGCTCTAAATTTAGAGGCTAGGACAGTCTCAGCTCCAGTCACGTTAGGTTCCCATTTAAATTCTTCCTCAGTCTCTTTTTCTCTCCTTCTTCATTGAGCTCTCCAAAGTGGTGTAGACCCAGCGCCGGGCCCCCAGATCTGCATTGGAATGCAGAAAAGATCTTTTTTTTTTAAAAAAAAAAAGTTTTGAATTCCTCAATGATTTTTTCTTCTGGAAAGGCAGCTTAGGATAATTATTTCAGCTTTATTGAGGGCAGATTAGTTGAAGTCTGGGCGCTGCGTTTCAATACGCGTTGTACACGGGCCGACAATGTGGGCATTGTTGGCTACTGTGTGTGAATCCATTCAACATATACACTTTTTAACACCAAACCGAATCCTGTCTAAATATACACAGTGCGTGGGGAAAGACGTCTCTGACCCGGACAAATCTGCGTAAATCACACTTCCATAGTTACAGAAGCCTCACAAAAGGAGGCCGGGGCTCAAGATGCTGATTACATCTTCTTAAAAGCAACATACCTAAGAATAAATGCTCATGCCTGGTCTGGGGCTATAGTGTGGGGGAGAGAGGGAACGCTCCCTGTGCAATCCCTAGACATCGTATGGACATTGTAGAGGCTTGCTTTATTATTTATTATAATTGTTATTTACCGTACGAACAAGTAAGCAATTCTCAGAGCTATACATATGCTCAGGGTGGCCTCCAAACTTCCAGTGCCTTTCTTGGGCTAGTGAGCAGGCCCAGAGCCTTTTCTGCTGTCTGTGGGTAGGGTATGTGTTGGGAAAGGGAGCAGGCATCTTTGGACTCCCAGGGTCCAGAGGGCTCCTAGGTTTCTGGGCTCCCATAGCTTCTTCACAACTGTCCAAGGTGACCAAAGTCTTGAGGGTGAGGACAAAGAGTTGGTTTGCTTTTTCAGATGAAAAGAAGTATGTCCATTCCCCCCCCCCATAACTATTTTAAATTATGAGAGTTAGGAGAAATCAAGATTCCTTGACTGAGAGTTGAGGAGTCAACGTAGAGAGAGTTGGGATAAATGTAGCCCACTGCACTGTGTCCTGGGCTCAAGCTCCTAGCTCTCACATGCCCCTCTTCCCCAAAGTGGGATTCCTAAGAAAGCTGCGTCAGTGTGTGATGGGCCCCATGATCCATCCTTTCTTTCTTTCTTTCTTTTTCTCTTTCTTTCTCTTTTCTTGCCTTTTCTTCTCTCTTTCCTTCCTTTCTTCCTGCCTTCCTTCCACTATTAGTATTCACATAGGCAGAAAGAGGTAGTTCGATGAGCACACTAAGTGCAAACCTTGCGGGCTCCGCGGGCTTCCTGGAGCCCTGAAGAGGGCCTCTTGCCTTCCCACAAAAATAGCCCCTGAAATCGGTCATCTCGGTCAACTACTCTGTGTCCACGGCTTTTCCAATTTCTAGACCAACTTCTTTGGGAAAGAGTGGAAGAAGGCAGGAGAGAGGAGAAAGAGAGAGATAAGAGAGGGAAGTGGAGAGATTAAGAGTTGCAAAGATTTGAAAAAAAAAATCTGTTTCTCCCCCTTCTCTCTCCTTCCCTCCCTCCCCCCCCCCCCCCTGGCTAAGTGGAAAAACCGTCCTTACGTTCTCGGTATTGATTGGCAGGGCTGACAGTGATTGGCAGTGGTTGCCATGGCAACGCCACAACGACACGCCGCAGACCAATAGAAAAGCGAAACAAAATGTTTCAATGCTGCACTCACTGTGGATTTAGGGGAGATATTATGAGGCTGTTGTCATTAGGGCGATTGCTGTGGAATCGCTGAATCTTGACTCGGCGGTGGTTGGCTCTCGCTCTGCTCTCTCTCCCACTCCCTCTCCCTGTCTCGGGTTCTCTCTCTCTCTCTCTCTCTCTCTCTCTCTCTCTCTCTCTCTCTCTCTCTCTCTCTCTCCCTCTCCCTCTCTCTCTGCGCGCGCGCACCGGGCCGCTCGCTCTCCTTCCTCCCTCTCTATGTGGCTGCGCGGGTGTGTGTGTGTGTGGATGTGTGTGGGGTGTGGGTGTCCCTTACGTCCTTCCTCCTCCCCCTCCTCCTCCTTCTGCTCCCCCCTCCTATCCCTCTCCTCCTCCCCCCTCTCCTCTCCCTCCTCCTGGTCCTCATCGCCCCTCTCCTCCTCTTCCTCCCCGCTCTCTTCCTCTCCCTGAATTTTCTCCTCTCCTCTCAGGTCAGTCCATGGTATTCCGCTCCCCCCTAGACCTCTATTCCTCCCACTTCTTGTTGCCAAACTTCGCCGATTCTCACCACTGCTCCCTACTTCTGGCGAGTAGCGGCGGCGGGAACAGTGCGGGAGGCGGCGGCGGCGGCGGCGGCGGCGGCGCGGGAGGCGGCGGCGGCGGCGGCAGCGGCGGCGGCGGCGGGAACCGTGCGGGAGGCGGCGGTGCTGGCGGAGCAGGCGGCGGCGGCAGCGGCGGCGGCGGCTCCAGGGCCCCCCCGGAAGAGTTGTCCATGTTCCAGCTGCCCACCCTCAACTTCTCGCCGGAGCAGGTGGCCAGCGTCTGCGAGACGCTGGAGGAGACGGGCGACATCGAGCGGCTGGGCCGCTTCCTCTGGTCGCTGCCCGTGGCCCCCGGGGCTTGCGAGGCCATCAACAAACACGAGTCGATCCTGCGCGCGCGCGCCGTGGTGGCCTTCCACACGGGCAACTTCCGCGACCTCTACCACATCCTGGAGAACCACAAGTTCACCAAGGAATCTCACGGCAAGCTTCAGGCCATGTGGCTCGAGGCGCATTACCAGGAGGCCGAGAAGCTGCGCGGCCGCCCGCTCGGCCCGGTGGACAAGTACCGCGTGCGCAAGAAGTTCCCGCTGCCGCGCACCATCTGGGACGGTGAGCAGAAGACGCATTGCTTCAAGGAGCGGACTCGGAGCCTGCTGCGGGAGTGGTACCTGCAGGACCCCTACCCCAACCCCAGCAAGAAACGCGAACTGGCGCAGGCCACCGGCCTCACTCCCACACAAGTAGGCAACTGGTTTAAGAACCGGCGGCAGCGCGATCGCGCCGCAGCGGCCAAGAACAGGTCAGTGGGGGGGGGGGTGTCCTCCGGGGGGAGGGCTGCCCCGCAATCCTTGCGGGCTGCTGGGGAAAGGGGAGACGGGTTGAAATGCAGGCGACCAGGGAACGGGTTTAGGGGGAAGGGGGCGGCTGCCCAGCGCAGGAGAGACTGGGGCTCTCTGGCTAGTTGGAGAAAGTTTGCGATTGCCCCGGGACAGGGGATGCGCACTGGGGTTTATTGACTGCTTTGCTCCAAAAGGGCTTTTGTCCAAATGAAGGGAGTGTAGCGTGCGGCCTTGGGCCTCACCGCCCGCCCGTGGTGGCCGCCCCTGGAGTCGGTTCCGGGCGCTGCACCTCAGCCCTGGCTCCAGCTAGGCACTCTTCTGAGTCTAGAGACTGAGAGGGAAAGAAAGTGGGCCTTGATATTTCATTCTTACGTGGGGTGCTTTGGGGGGTGTGTGGGGGGGGGGGGGACCTGAGGGGAATCCACACACATCAGGGACAGGAAAGCGAACCTGGATCCCGGCCACAAAGGGAAAAAGGTCGGGCGGCCACCTTGCTGGAGACCTTCTTCCCCAAACGTAGCACATTGGCTGATACTGAACTGGAGAGCCTGGCCAGGGGGTGGAGAAGGTGTGTGTGTGTGTGTGTGTGTTCACCTCCACCTATGCGTGCCTTCCTTTCCTGGCCAAGGAACATCTCTTTGGTCCACTAAGTTGGGGAAGTTGGGGAGCAGGCAAGTTAGCCATAAAGTTATAAAGTTGTACTGGGCTTGTTGGTCTCTAGAGCGATGTGGGGAGGAAGTGAGGAGCGGTGGAAGAACAGAGAGAAGGAAAGGACTAAGCTAACTGTAAGCCACGATAGGAACCCTGGGTCCCGGCTCAGCTTGAAAAGGCTCAGGGCCTAGTATAGGGCAGAGAGCCTGCCCCCAGCTGCTGACAGCTGCTAGGGGCTGAGTGTGAGTTCGTGGAGTGTGTTTGGGTTTAGGTATCCCAGGCCTGCGCCCACTGCCCTCTCACCCCTGCCTCTAGAGCCCACTTTTCGCCTGATGAGGGGACTGCCCAAAGACAGGATAGGCCTTCTTGCAGGAAGAACTGTGACACACTAGGTTCGCATAGCCGGTTTCTAGCCCAGGAGAGAGCCAGATACCACTCTCTGCAGTCTTCCTCTTCCTTTTCCCCTTCCTCTTCCCCCATTTTCCCACTTCCAGCTCCCCTATTTTTTTTTTTTTCTATCCCGGATCCTGCGCTTTTGCGCCAAAATCCCAAAAGCAAAGCCAGCAGGTCCTACAGGGGAGAGGCGGCCAGCGAGAAGCCGGAAGCTTTGGGGATGTGTTTGGGGAAGCATGGGTAGCACTTCGGGAAACCCACATCTCTTTAAGCAGCCGGCTAAATCTGAAAAGCCCTTTGGGGTTAGAGAGGAAGAGGCTCAGTGTTCCTTCCCTACTTATGCTCCTTTACGATTCCGATTCTGAGACCTTTGCTGTTTGCCCAGATCATACCCCCGCAGGCCCGAGACACCCCCTCTCCACCCAGGCGGGTTTCTATCTGGGGAGCTTTGGAAAACCTCTCTTGGGAAGGGAGCCTAGGCTCACCGGCGGGCTAATTGCAGCTAGGTGCCCGGAGAAAAAGAAGAGTACAAGGAGCACGGTAGCAGTTGGGGGGGCAGTGACTTCGGGGCTCGGGTTGGAGGAGGCTAGGATTGGGGGGGGAGTAGAGGGAGGCAGCGGGTGGCCCGACACTGTTTCAAGGCCAGCACGGCTCTCTCTCTCTGCTGCAGGCTCCAGCACCAGGCCATCGGACCGAGCGGCATGCGTTCGCTGGCCGAGCCCGGCTGTCCGACGCACGGCTCGGCAGAGTCGCCGTCCACGGCGGCTAGCCCGACCACCAGCGTGTCCAGCCTGACAGAGCGCGCGGACACCGGCACCTCCATCCTCTCGGTAACCTCCAGCGACTCGGAATGTGATGTATGATAGCCAAGGCGGCCCTCCTCCCCCACCCCTTCCCTCTCCCAGTCCTCCTCCTCCTCCTTCCTTCTCCTCCTCTTCACCCACCTCCTCTCCCTCGATTCCCACTCCATCCCCAGAACAAACCGAAAATCAGGATACACAATCATACACACGAGTCCACATACACTCCCACCCCAGCCAAAAATATATATAAAAACCAAGAAAAATAAATTAACCGCAAACCACCAACAACTCCCCGACCATCTAACACCATGGCCATCCCCAAAAGGACCGCGACGCCAACGGTCACAAATGATGCTGTTGCGGGCAGAGAACATAAAAGAAGTGACCATTGTATACTTTCTAGGACAAGCACGGCTCCTCCTTTTGGTTCCCACGGACCCGGCACCCCACCTGCATGACGATTTATTTGTATCTGGGAAAATATTCTCTCTAGTTAAAAATGATTTAAAGAGTCGACTATACAAAAACAACCATAACCACGATGACAAGACGACAAAAGCAAAACAGACAAAAAAAAAATCAGCCGTCTCCGTTCGGAATTTGTTTTAAAAAAAAAAAAAAAGAATGAAAGGAAAAAAAAAAAGAACTCCTGGAGAGAAATAGCAAATGTTTCTCGCCTTTTGTTGCTCTCTCTCTTTCTCTCTTTCTCTCTCTGTCTCTCTCTCTCTTTTCCTCTCGCTCTTCCTTTCTCTTTCTTCCCTGTTTTTGAGTCCAAGTATTGGTTAAACAAGATGCAATCTTCTGTTTTTTTGTTCAGCAGACAATCATTTTCTTCGTAAGCACCTTTTCTCTCCACTCTGTCACTGCCTGTGTGGGTACTGGTTATAAATGTGGAAAAAAAAAGAATAGTTATGACTGTAACAGATTTTTATTTTTATTTCAAAATTTTATATGAATTATGTATATCTTAATGATCGGTCATTTTCCCAGTTTGTAATATATGTGTAGAAATTGCCTGTATATGATATTGCTTTTTCTCCTCTCCCTTTCTCTTTCTTTCTCTCTCCTCCCTTCTCCCCTCCCCCTTCCTGCTTACCTGTCTCTTTCCTTTTTTGGGGTTCCTTCCTCCCACTTGGTATTCCTGGCGTCGGCTGAGTCAAGGTGTGGTGTGGTGCCCCAAGTTAGGCAGAGGGACCCCGTCGCTAGCAAAAGCGGAGAGTGAGGCTGTAGTCTTCTTATGCACAAGCTATTTCAAGTATTTCTTAGCCGCTTTGAAGGTATCACTCACTCCCCGTAGGGCGCTTTTACTGTTATCTTAACTGCGTGTTTATCTATATGTAAAAACTTTCTAAAGCAAATACAGTATTCTCCATTTTCTTATCACTCCCAGAGACTTGTGTTTTTGTCCACCCCTAGTTCCCAGCTCCGGGGTGCAGCGGCTGGGCCTTCCTCTCCAACTCCACAGCCGAGGGAACAGGGACAGCATTTCAAAATGAGTGGGGAGCTTTTTTTTTTTTTCTTTCTTCTTCTTCTTCTGGGTGTCGGGTACAAAACTGGGAATAGGCCCTGAGGGTGAGAGCCCTAGCTGAATCCTGAGCTAGAAGGCGGCGGGAGCCGGAAGCAAAGGAGGACAGGAACACCGAGTTTTCTGAGTGAGATGCCAGGCTCGGGCCCACCGTGGTGCTTTCATCCTGGAGCCACAGCCCTTTGTGGGTCCCAGGTTGTCTTCGAGTTGTGTAGCTTTGCTTTTTAAAAAGCAAAACACACAAGGTTGCCAGTCTCAAGCATCCGTCCTGAATAGAGATTCACACTCTCCCCACTCCACCAGACAGGGTAATCAGGGGAGAAAGGTAGTTTGTGGTATTTGGGATCTAGGGTTAGGATGGCCCCCTCATTATCCATTACCACCCAGATGTGTAGCTGTGTAACCGTGTGACTTGCCTTATGGCTCTAGATCTGTCTTCCCGAAATTTCTTCCTAACACCCAGAATCTCTCAAGCCCCTGAGATCTTTCTGATTTGGATCCCAGTGTAAAATGAAAACCAGAAAAACCAAAACCAAAACCACCACAGCCTATTGCTAACTACATTCCTTCTGGCCTCAGGCCTCCCTTCCCTTCCCTTCGTGTTTGTGGGGGGGGGGGCAGGATGGAGGAGAGCTCAGTTCTCAGGGATAGTGTGGCTGGTGGTGGCTTCCTTGCTCTAGGGCAGCATAGCCTGTGTCTGAGGAAGAACCCAAGAGGTCATTTCAGAAAACTTGCCCTCACTTGAAAGTCCAATTTCCAAGAGAAGATTAGAGAGAGATGTGCCTGGAAGTTCGCACGCGATTCCAAACTAATTTTGACTTCCGATTTCCTTTTGTCCTCATCCCAGGCGGCACAAGGGGTGGGGGTGGGTTACATAGGCCAGCTTGGGCAGGGATGCTGCATGGCCAAGGGAAGCCATGGGTGTGCCAGAGAACCTGCACCTGCTTGGCGGATGGGGTCGCCATCCCTACTTGCAACCCTCTAGCCCCAGCTTCCAAGTTCTGTGGCCTCCCACATATCAGAATCTCTGAGTGTGTTCACTGCCCGGGAAAGCCTTCCCCAGGTGCAGAGTTTCCAGAAATATCGCAGTAGGTGGAGTTTGGGAAAAGGACTGCTTGTATTCCACCCACTTGACCCTCTGCTCTGGAACGAGGGGCTCTGTCATCGGCTCTTCTTTTTACATGGTCATTCACCTACTTAACCCAGAACTTGAACGTGGAAACCCAAAGAAGTGGCTTCTTCAGTGTGGACCATGTGGCTGAAATTGGTGGGTGGTTGACACTACTGGAGAACAACTTCTGGAAAGGCCTAGGCTGGGAACAGGTGCCTTTATATCTGGGGCCAGGGAACAGATTTGGGAGTTATACTTCCTTCTCTCAACATACATGGAAGAAAAGGCAATGTGGGAATATTCAGTGTCCACTCTTCCATTGCAGAAAACAAGGATCAAGCTCCACAACAAGCCTTAGGCTTGCGGAGCCTGGGCCATGTTTAGTGCCACCAGTCTGTTGTCTTTTCATCTAGCTTGCTATCTGCCATCCGTGCTCTCTCATCTACCAGGTCTGCATAAATACCAATACTCTATTATCTGCACTTTCTGACCTTACTCACATGTTCCTTTCAGGAGGAATGTGTTTGCTGCTTGTGGGTAGTGTATGTGTATGCAATTTTGAATGTGGGGTTTGGGAGCGGGGGCGGGGAGAGGGCTTTCACCACTCAATCAAGTTTTACATACAAAAAGCATGGATATGCAATGATGTTTGGCATAAACACATGTACAGTGCATTGATATGGACCCAGTGTTTTGTACATATCGCTTAGCTTAGGTACAGTACATGTGTGTGGCTTGAACAGTTTATCTAGTTCTGTAAGAAGTACTAGGGTAGAAATGCATCTATAAGATGCTGTGTTTAGGAGCTTTCTTTCTACTGGACATATATCTCCTGAGTTCCTGTTTTCCTATGGATACTTGTGGTTCATTATTCTAGTCAGTCCATAGACATGACCACTAAACTGCAAACCCCTTACAGGCTTTCCTGTCCCTTTAAGAAATGCTGTGTGTGTGTGTGTGTGTGTGTGTGTGTGTGTGTGTGTGTGTGTGTGTGTGTGTGTGTGGTGTGTCTCACAATGGGTATTCATTATCTGGAGAGCCAAAGGGGTTGGGTTCTTTAGCTTTTTGCACTTCACCCTTTACCTTGATACACTGGAGATATTACAGTGGATTTGGCCTCTGCCCCTTTAAACACAGAGTGGGGAAAAGAGGCCATTTTCTGGTCAGATCTCACCTTTTACTCCAACATCTGTCCATTCTCTTCCCCAGTTGCCAAAGCCCTGGCCAAAACAGTCCAAGTCTCAAGGGTCTGCCATAGTAAGGCTGAGCTAAAGCCCAGCTTCTCTCTCTCTCTCTCTCTCTCTCTGTCTCTCTCTCTCACACACACACACACACACACTCACACACAAACCATCTGAGCCCCACCTCCTGTCAATATTGTAGGATGTGTCTGGACCAAGAGAGCATGAGCATTGTATGCTCTGGTATGGGCCTCCTGGGCCTGAGTGAGACTAGCTAAACAGGCCTAGGTGTTAATCGTCAGTCTGCTCATCTAGACTGCACGGCAGCAGCTAGCAGGCTAACTCATCTCCTGGTATCAGAGGACTGGACCCGCTTCCAACTGTGCACTTCAGCTTGGGGTCCCAGCTGGTCCCCTGGCTCTGAAATTTCTCTAAGTTAGGTATACCTGGCCCCTTTCTCTAGGACCTAAGGAACCTGAGGAATAACAGTCAATTCGATGACATTTTCTTCTTCCTTGCCTCCCTCAAAGAAAAACAATGATAATCCAAGATTTGCATTGAAATCTCACAGGCGTGGATGGTGTGTGAAACTGGGACAATCTATAATAAAGACCTAACATCTAGAAGTCTCTTGCCTGAGGACAGACAAGCCAAACTACTGCTCCCTGCTTGCTCACCTCCCCTCCCCTTCCCTTCCCAACTCAAGCCCCAGCCCAGGGCCCCCACCTGCCTTCTCTTCTTGCTCTCCTGGGATCCTGCAGAGTCCACTGTCCATTGCCAGAGCAGTTGAATATTCCCAGTAAGAGTACAACTGGTTAAAATGAAGTGATGGGCAGCTGTCTCAGACAGTGAGAGAATGCAGATCGATAGAGGTACAAGAGCCTGGTGGTTGGGCTTGAAATTGGGGCTGGAGGTACTGGGACTAGACTATGTGGTCTGCCCAGGCATGGGTTGGCTCAGTAAGGCACTGTGAAGTCTAAGCCTGGACCTAGGCAAACCAAGCGGGATGGACCAGGACTTCTCGTGTGGACCGTGGAGGTGAAATGACCACCTCTGTTTTTTTTTCTGAAGGAAAACAGCGTGGCTTGCCACATCCTGGACCCAGCCCCTCACCTTGCAGCCTGCTACCAGGCCTGTGGATGAACGGGGCATCCTCCAAGCCAGGGCTGTCCCAAACTGTTCCTGTCTCCCTTGGCCTCCAGGGCTCTTTAGTCCTGCCAAAGCCTTTGTTTCGTTGTCACCT